CAATCTGAATATAATTCAGCTGGAGTTCCCTTTCTAGCTATGAACCTTCTAAATGCCATCAGAAACCCATCGCTGTTCATACTACTTATAACTTCAAGATGGACAGCCTTAGTTGTCATACATTTAAAGATGACCCCCCATCTTTTCTCTCTGGATCTGCGAACTTTAATCATCATAGGGCCCCAGCAGTCCATTCCAGTGGAGTAAAATGGAGGCAACCCGATTCTTGTTCTTGCCTCTGGAATGTCTGCCATTTTTGGTACAGCTGGACATTTTCTCCACATCTGACAACTAACACATGTCCTGAGTATCGACTTGATTTTACTACGCCCTTTCAATATCCAGTAACGTTGTCTTATATAACTGAATACTTGCTCCACTCCTGCACCATGGTTAAAAACATTACTGTCTATTCTCTTTATGAGCAACTGTGTAATCTGATGACTCGGGTCCAGTACAACTGGGTGCACCTCCATCTCCAGATGATCATTTCTCTTTAATCGACCTCCTACTTGGATGAGCTCTGATTCCATATCGAATTGTGGGTCGAGATTTACCAGTTTGCTGCTCTTTGCTACACTTTTACCCCCATTCTTTAGTACCTTATACTCTTCTGCAAAACAGTCTTTCTGCACTCTCTTTAACAGTAAGAGTTCAATTTCTCTTACCTTCTCTGCATTCAAAGCTTCTGACTGTTTGCCGTATATTCTTTGTCGATAGAGTTCTAACATTTCTTCCCAAGTCTTGCATTCCACAATATCAACTTCTCCCCGGTTCACAACAACATTCCCGTTAAATGCCATCCTTCTTTCTTCTGTATCCTCTGTGTCATTATCTGACTTCTCTTGAGGCCACTCACTTATCGGCTTACTTATAAATTCAGGTCCATTTATCCACCTATCAGTTAATTTGTCCGCTCTCATTCCTCTGGACAAGTCGTCGGCAGGATTTAATATTCCTGGAACATGTCTCCAATTTGCTATCTTCGTCTTGCGCTGAATCTCAGAAACTCGAGCTGCAACAAATTGTTTAAAGCATTGAGCTAGTCGTCTTATCCACCCCAGCACGATCATGCTGTCTGTCATTAAAATCTGCTTACTGAATTTGAAAGTAGACTCTTTAACTACTGCATCTGCTAGTCTCGCTCCCATAACTGCCGCCTGTAGCTCTAATCGCGGGACCGTTAATTTCTTCAATGGGGCTACACGTGATTTGGCTGTTATCAGTCTTGATTCAAATGATCCGCTTTCTAATCTCCACCTAGCATAAGCACAGGCTCCAAACGCTTTCTCACTTGCATCACTAAATATTACTAATACAACTTCAGTGGATGCCTTAGATGGAGTAAGACATATGGGAAATGCTACTTGATCGATCCCTTTAAACTCCTTGAATAGATCTTTCCACTCCTGCTCTACCTTCTTTGGTAATGGGTCATCCCAATCAATTCCACTTTCCCATAGTTCTTGCATCTTGATCTTTGCACTTATGGTTACCGGTGTGATGAACCCAATGGGGTCAAATACTCTTGCTATTACTCCCAATATCTTTCTTTTAGTGAGTGTTTCTATGTTGATGTTGACATCAAAGGTGAATATATCCTCCTGAGGTCTCCATCGCATACCTAATACCCTTTGCTCGGAGTCAATCATAACCACTTTGTCTTGCTTGATATATATGCCTTGTACTTGCTTGTTCGAAGTCCAACCTTTGACAGAGAAACCGCCACTACTAAGTACCT